AACTCCTGAGCTCAAACAATCCGCCCGCCTCGGCCTCCCAGAGAGCTAGGATTACAGGCGTGAGCCACCGCGCCCAGCCCAAAGCACTATTTTTTAAACCAGGAGGATTTCATCTTGACAAAAAGGCAACTTTTATTTAATATGTATTTTTCTGGGCTTAAGAGAGACAAGAACACACTTAAAATAGATGAAGATGTTTAGCAAATAAGCAATGTCAACTCTATTCTGATTAGGATAACTAAGTAATGTTAAATACAAATCTGTGGTTGTGGTCCTAGAAATAAGATACCTTTTTGATGGAACTGGTATTAAAAGAAGTAGCACCTTTTGTGCATTCTCAGTGATAAAACTTGTAATCATCAGCATGAGTGCCTTAGAAGAGGAAATAAAGAAGCTTTCAACTAAAAAAAAAAAAAAAAAAAGGACATCATGCTACATTTTGAGAATTAAACTTTTTTCACTCAATATTTTATTGCTAAGATTCATCCATATTGTTAGGTATCATTATAGTTCATTTGTTCTGACAATTGTATAATATTCCATTGTGTGAACATTCCAGTTTGTTCATCCACTCTCTTACTCATAGGCGTTTGGGTTGTTTCTAGGCTTTTCCTTTTGTAAACACAGCTGCTATGAACATTCTTGTATGTGCCTCCTGGTGTACGAGTTTCTCTACGATTTATCCCCAGTACTGGAATAACTGGGTTATACGATAGGTGAATGTTCAATTACAGGAGATAAATTATTTTACAAAGTAGTTCTCTGCTTTTCTTACCTGGGTATGTCTGTCCCCAATTAGACTATGACTCCGGGGACAAGAGGCCCCCTCCTCTTGAATTACCACTGCTTAGCATTCAATTAGCACCAGGCTGGATATCCAGGAGTACAAGGGCAGAAACCTAGACACCTGGGGCCTCTCAGCCTCAGCAAATACTAACTACTGTGCAGAGTAAACAGCATGCAGGGACTATATGCCACACATGGAGGTTGGTTAGAGTCCTACACAGAGCACCAGCTAAGCTCCTGGGAGCTCCATCTTCCTCAGTTCACTTGATTTTGAGTCTGGAAGGTATTCCAAGGCCCTCGATTACCATGCAAATCCCAAGAGAAGGCTTAACCTCAGCTAAAGTCCTTCTCAACCAACACCTCTAATACCCAAATAAGCATTAGCAGGAAAGGCACAAAGGACAAAAGGAGTGGCAGGAAGAGGAAAAGAGGGAATAAGGGAAGTGAGAAGAGCCAAGAAGCCTTCAGGTATTCTAAAGTTACACATCCTTTTCTGCCCAAGGACCAGTTTTTCAGGAAAAACATTCTTTTTAATTAAAAAATTCTGCAAATGATCATGAACAACTTTTAATATCTCTGCCACTAAAGGTTACCTTTTTTGGCTAAAGTTACAAAGACAGGCCGGGCGCGGTGGCTCACGCCTGTAATCCTAGCACTCTGGGAGGCCGAGGCGGGTGGATTG